GTTAAATAAGAATAAAGTAGCCCTCAAATCAATTTAATTTTTACCATTGTTTTTTTAATTTCAGATTTTTTTCTAAATAATTTTATTTCTTTTCATTAATCTATGTGGTTACTAACTCAATATCCTGTTATCTGTGTCAATAAATTTTAACAATAATACCTCTTTTTCAAATAATAAGAACTAAATTGATGATTATAAACTAAAAGAAGTAAATCATAAAAATTGAATTTGAAAGATGAAATCAATGACTGATTCTGGAACAAATTCAAGGGACTAAAAGTCTTATTGTCCAGTTTACTTCCTTCCTTTCCCCATCCTCCACAATATCTTCTACACCTGCACCAAATCTGGAACTTTTAGTTTGTAAAAATAAAACAATTCAGGGGAAGAAACAAATTTAAGGGACTAAAATATTTCGTTAGGACAAGCAGAAAAAGGGAAGAAAGAAAATTTGGAGGAAAAATTCCTAGAAAGAAAAGAATTACTATTTTTGAAAATTTAGGGCCTTTTGGTTTCTGTTTTCATTTTTTATTTTAAAAACTGTTTTGCAATACAGTTTTTAAAATTGTTTTTAAAACAAAAAAAAACAAAAATTCATTTGGTTATGTCAGTTCAAAAATAGTTTTAAAATTAAAGGTATACACTGATAGTGTTGGTAATAGGTAACAAATAGTGGTGATTAATAATAAAAATTGATCAAGGTAATTATAATTTTTAATAATCAAATATAGTGTATTTAAAAAAATAAAATGAAAACAATTTAAAATAATTTATATTTTTTTTTTAAAAAAATAATTTTGAAAATAACTAAATGAAAAATATTTATCCAAATAGATTTTTAAATTTATTTATTTTCAAAAACTAAAAACAGCAAACAAACAGGCTCTTATACTCCTAGTTTTCTCTCTCTGTTTCCCTTTTTTTTTTTTTTTAAACTTTTCCTTCAATTGCAACTGAACATTCCAGTTTGATTTAGTTAGAGACTATTCCCCACACACGAGCCTCCCCGAGAACGAGCCCTCAGTCGTTCCCAGACTAATTAAATGTCACACATTAGGTTGATCCTATACATCTGTTCCAGTACGAGAATGGTGGTCGGGAAGATAAATTCAAGCACAATATTGGATCCAAGCCTAAGAAGCAAAATGGGACTATAGATACATAGGTTATAAATAATACAGGGGACCATATCGAATGATCGTGCGTTGCCACCTTTGATAAAATTAGCATGACCAGTTGGCCAAAAAATAAAACATTTCATGACCCGAATATATATATATATATATTTTAAAAAAGACGAAAACTAGCACGACCATTTATTACGAGATGCGTCCGGTCTTGCTATCGGAGACGTCCTTTGTTAGTGGTATGATGAGCTTTGCAATTCCTAGAGGTAGCGAATAGCGTACGAATTTTGGTCATTATAGTCTGCACATGACCGTAACTCATTTATTGATATCAGACCCATTGCCGATCTCATATGGCTAAATATCGCCCCACCCAATTGATTCATCACCTTCCAAGCCTCATCTTCATCTTATTTATAACCTCCTCTACCCAATTCTGAATTCTTCCCCCTCTCTTCCCTCCCCCGGAATTATTAACAGAATCTCCCCTTTCTCTGGATTTCGAACTTTTGCTGCAATTTCTAGTGAATCTTTTTACATTCCGCTGACATTTTATAACAGTTTAGAAAAGCAAAAAGTTACAAAAGAATCCATAATTTGGTCGCAATTTTGAAGAAGGGTGCAAGGACGATGCATCAAAATTCGCAACAAGAGATTCAAAGCAAAGAAATTAACTATAATTGGAACAGGGCATTCATTGCGAATCTTCGTTCATGTGAGCTGTCCCTCTCAACTATCAAGACGAGACAGTTTATTGGGCTTTGTCGTTAGAAGCCCATGACGTTGGGTAACCGCAGGTAACTTTTGTGCACGCGGTGAAACGAGGGATGAAGATCGGAGCATGTTATGTAGGGCGCGGAGAGGCCCACGAAAGGTAAAGGTCAAAAAACTGGCCTCTGAACATCTCTCGACCGTTAATTGTACATTATAATGGCGTTCTGACAGATCTACCTAATTGTCATTCTCAACTGACCACGGCTTCGGAAAGTTGGTGTTATAACCATCCCTAAATGACGCTTTCCAGGGCCTACACTCACCCGCACTCGCTCCCCTCAAAACAAACCCTACAGATTCAAAATCAAGAGCAGCAAATAATAATGGCACTACCCTCACTGGCAATTTCGTTATTATATAAAACGCACACAGACATGCCTCCTATACGTGATACAGGAGATTGCTTGGAAGTTGTGACCAGTATGATGGATATGCCTTAACCGCCTGAATTATTGGCTTCTGTTTAGCACCGCCTTTGTAATCTTCGACTAAGACAGCACACTACACTCTGCTACTATTATATGAACGATATGAATCGCCCCTGCCTTCCATGGAATTTCATATAACAACAACGTAACTCGTTCCTCATTTGAGGTTGTTCTTTATATTCTCATCACCTAGATCGCTGGATCCCGGGCAATTATAAGCGCCCAATAGTCTGGGACTGTGGGCTCAAAATCAAACTTGCAACCAGAGGAATGGGTTTACTGAAAAAGAAACTTGGGCTTTAGTTTTTTTGGGCTTTTGGCTGGGAAGGCCTATTTTGTCTTCCTGTTGAAAAAAATAATAATTAACAAATGTTAGTCTAATAATGGATAAGAATTTAACTCATAATATAAAAGAGCGTGACTTCAAATCTTTTTGTTGATGTGAGAATTTTATTAGTCAACATTGAAGTGTCTTTATAAATGCTTTTTGAATTTGAAAGACCCAACTCAACTGAATTTTGTTTTAGCACAGAAAAGGGGTGAAGAATTTTGGTAAGTGTAAGAGGGGGAAGGATGGAAATGAAAAGCAAGACACCTTGGAGTTGAAATGGGGCAGGTGAAGAGATAAATACACTTAGTTGGGGTTGGGGGGTCTGGCGTGGCATTTAATGCGAGCTTGGGGTCCAGCCCAAGTCCCAACCCCAAAAGCCAGACCTCATAAATGTTCATCACCGTCTAGGCCTCCACTACAAATACAACCTATTTAATCTCACCCAACAAATCTCAGTTCGCCTTTTTAAATCCCCATTCCCATTCCCTGCCTGGCCAAAAAAGTAAAAATAAAAAATCCCATTCCCTCTGCTTTAAAACACCTCTATCTTTTAGTGATGAACATGCATACTAAAAATGAGGTCTAAAACTGTAAAACAAACACTTGTCCCACTGCCATTTTTTTTTTTAAAAAATCATTGTATCCATAAAATCCATTGAAAATTTAGTAGGAAGAAAAAATAATAAAAGAAATAGAAAAGAAAAATATGTATCAAATTTCAGACTTTATTTAGGGGCAGCTGCAATTCACGAGGACAGTATATTCTTTCTAAAATGTGACCTGTAAAAGTGAATTCCTTTTTGTCCTTTTTTTTTTTTAACGAGAAAATGTATTCAAATGCCAAAAGATATAGAAGATAAGCAAGAGCTCCTTCCCTCCAATTTCATAACTACTTCCACTGACGGGGAGAGAGAGGGGGCTGTCAAAGGGTCATGGTTCCCACAGTTTTTATCCTTTTAGAATCAAATAAGCATTATGCAAATTTGGCTTGCTGAAATTTATATCAACTTTTTACCATATATTTCTTTCTTTTTTTTTTTGGCAACATAGCACTCTATATTTCTCTCTTTCTGTTTTTTTTAAAAACTTTAGGGAAGTTGACTCTCTAGAGCTTACTAATATTAGTGCATACCACTATATTTAAAAAATATTTGTAAAAATACTTACATATCATTTATCAATAAAGTCATTATGTTAGTAATACAATTTGATCCTTTAACTTTATTAATTATGGGCCAAACTCTTACTATAAACTTTTATTGGTTACTATATATATTTCATTTTTTAAATATATAATACTATATGTATCTCTCTCTCTCTCTCTCTCTCTCTCTCTCAATCTCGATTATCTCATTTAAGTCATGGCTCGGCGGCCATATTCTACTAAAGTTTCTCTTGTTCTCATTCCCCGCGTGTCCGGCCCATTCCAATGCCCCCCGGCTCTCTCACAATTTATGTTGCCATCGCATCATCTCATCCCTTTTAGCTTGTGGCTCCCTCTTCTGGTCTTCTTCAATCCACCCCTTACCTTTTTCTTTACTCGAAAACAAAATAAAAAAGGAAACATTAAAATGATTCAAATTTTATATTTTAGTACATCTATTTTAATTAAGTATCTATCGTTCACAAAAGCTATGCCCACACATAAAAAATGTTTAACAACTTATATTATATTAAAATAAACGAATTATATTTCACTAACATACTCTTATATTAAAAAATATATAATCTAATAAGACTTTGATGATTCCATCGACTCTTACGTTTACTAATAAAAAGTAATGTAGTACTGAGTAATCAAAATTTCATTAAAATTATTAGGTGCGATTATTTTTAAATATAAAATCAAACTCTAGAGTGAAATTCATTTTAAAACGCTGGATAAATAATTAAATATAGACTTATCTAGAGATATGATCCATAAATATATAAAAATAATCGAGCTATACTTTTATTCCCCTCTCTTCTCAATATTATTCAGCTGCCCGCCTGCTCCGAGCCTCCAACTACTTAACTAACCATCTTAAATGTGCCGAAAAGAAGACGTCTTCAATGGCCCGTCAGTTAAAATTTTAAATCTGATAGAATTTGTTTATGGCCGTTTGATCAAAGCAGCAGGGATCCCTTTTTAGCTACAACCACACATCACATTCGCACTGTACAGTTTTACGTCCACTTCAAAAAATGTTTAAACTCAACATCTTCCTTCTCGATGAGGACACTCATGCCAGTAACTTTTGACTCTCTCTCTCTCTCTCTATATATATATATGTATGTATATCATCCGTCTTACCATACTACCCTACGTCCATCCAATCAGGTTGATACTCCCCTCCCCCCCTCCCCCGATTTTGCCATTTTCTGCTTCCATCAAGTTTCAGCTCCTCTTCCGGGAGGGTGACGACCATGGCTAGATTTCTCGCACCACTGATCTTGGTCCTCATGCTCATTTCCATGCTTCACACAATGGTTAGTCTCTCTCTCTCTCTCTCTCTCTCTCTCTAGCTATTCTCAGACATCAAATTAAAGTACATCTAAAAAGCACACCTTTTCTTTTGTCCATCAGATCTGTATATATATCATTGCAAGAGATTCAATTGTGGGATGATCTCTAAGATATTACTCACTTACTGATTATGCAGGTCATGGCTTCTCACGGACATGGAGGCCACCACTACGATGACAAGGTGACGCACCCTAGCTAAGTACCCACCGTGCATATATAATTAAAAGATTAGGAATAAATAATGGTTGTAGATTCATGATTTTCTTGATGATGATGGGCCAAGTGCTGATGCCTTGTGTGGTGCTGGTAAATGGTGATATGTTTGCAGAAGAAATTTGGACCCGGCAGTCTCAAGAGCTACGGTGAGTTAATTAAGTTTGCATCGGTTGTTGTGGTCTCTTGTTTTAAGTAGCTATGGTGGCTTAAGATGGGAAATGTGCGTGTCTGAGCAGAATGCCCATCGCAATGCTCGAGGAGGTGCAAAAAAACACAGTACCACAAAGCGTGCATGTTGTTCTGTCAAAAGTGCTGCAGGAAATGCCTGTGCGTGCCTCCTGGCTACTATGGCAACAAAGCTATATGCCCTTGCTACAACAACTGGAAGACCAAGGAAGGAGGACCCAAATGCCCCTGAACCTTCATTTCATTTCATGTGTGTCCTAACCAAATCCGTGATACTCTCGTTTAATGATTATTAATGAACACTGGCACTCTTTGTCCTAACGACACTGGGTGTACATGTAATGTCGTTGCACTGATATGTGATTTCACTTCTAATGGTTCTCAAACCAATTCTATGTGTTAGGCATATACTATGCTTGTACTGTTGTCATTTGCAAAAATTAATTTCTTTTGTGATATTAGTGACTAAGGAATAACAGTGATGACTTCAGCTTCTTCCATGGGATCAAATTATGAATCAAAAGATGATGGTGGATGTGAGTTTTGTACTTTTTTTTAGTTGTTTCTCATGACTATTTTTCTATTGGAGGCAATCTTATTTGAGACACTGTGTGTCGAGGCAATTATGTTAGGAGAAACTAACTCTTTTCATAGTAGTTGTGTACCATTATCACGTGGAAAGGAAAAAAATATGGATATTTTATAAGCAAAACAAATCTTTTTGTGAAGAAAAATATGGATCTTGATTATATGGAGCCCTGTCATGGACCCCTTCTGCAGGATTCCCAGCAACTTATAACAAGTTACTTCAAGGCTGTCAATGCGGCCCACTTGTTTATTTTATTCCCTTTTCTTAATTCATTCGATTTGGGCAGTTTTTTTTTTGGTGGAAAAATAGACAGTTTTTTAAGAAAACAATTAATTTAAAAGTTTATAAAATAAATTATTTTAAAGTTTTAGTTTAATTGATTGACGCAAACATAAAATTGTGAGTTATAGGGAGGCGCCCAGGGTTTAATTTTAAACCCCGACGACCACCCTGGGGGGACATGTAATGAAGAATTGTGATTTTTACCTATGAGCTAATTTAAACTGAATAAAATATTTTGACCTGTTACCGATCAGGAAGAACGACACAATTCTTCTGTACCAAAAAAGGTATCAACAAACAACAACCAAATTAATAAGTAGAAACTAAATTAATAAATTTAAATGATTGATTATTTTGGAAATAATTAAGACATCAAATAACTCGGTGTATAATTCATGAGTTTCGCTAATGTCGTTAATGTCAGACGGCATATATACATTATACGGAGTAAAAAAAAAAGTAATTTTCACATTTACATATTTAATGAAACAGTTAAAATAAATAAGAAAAACAAAGTTATCTATTTATATTGATGTTAGACAGATATAAAGGATATACCAGTTTTAAATAAGTTATTTTTGGCAAGGTAATAAGTAATACTTCATCTATTCAAAAATATAAGGTATTTTTTAAAGAGTTAGATATTAAAAAATGTAAGACATTTTTTGTCTTTTGAGTTGTAATCATTGCCTTTTTTTCAAAAATGACCTTATTAATAATAATTTTATATTTATTGTAGGGTGTTTAATAGAAATTAATATAAAAAAATAAGGTTACTTAAAAAGTAGATAACTATTTTATTGAGAGTTGAGATTCGGTTAAAAATATTTTATATTTTTAAACAAAAAAAATATATAACAATAACAAGTCTATGAGAAAAGCTCTGCATCACATAGTGTGAGGCGAAGGACAATAGTTGTGGGACCTAACAATTAAAGATTAGAAGTTTAAGTGGGGTTTGGTTTTTATTTAACATTTGGCAAAAGCATATGTGGAAAAATATTTATTGAATTTGGTAATGTACTTTGAATGTATTTTTAAAAGTTACTCAAACAGGCCCATAAGCTGATGATGAATATTAGATTTTATGCAGTTGAAGAGATATGACCTAACCTGAAAGTACAGTACACATTTTGGGTTCTCAAAGGAGTATACATGGGTAAGTTGCCAATTCCTAAAATGGAACTGGAATCAACATGTAAAATAAATAAATAATTCATTTTTTGGGACATGCATGGATTTTCTCATTTGGGCATATTCTCTGGGCTAATGGATTTATCTGTGAAACTTTAGCATGGGCTCACGAGAGGGTGATCAAAAAGTGGTGACATCTTGATATAGTTAAACGCATATGTCAAAAAAAAAGCGGGGGGGGGGGGGGGGACAGATACAGTTGTACGTAAATGCCAGTCGAGAGTTGAAAATGCCATTTCTGTAGAGTGCTGTGAATTAATTTCAGAATATTGCTCTGAAGTGATTAATGCCAGTTGGTGTATCTTGAATCATTTTTATTTATACTTTTCTTTTTTAAACCAAATTAAACTTGCAGATTAGAGAGCATTAGGAGCAGATTAGAGAAGGCCACAGCAGCAAAGCTTTCTCCTGATTAGACAAATTTATGTAATTAATGTCTCATAATCATCAAGAGGTTTTGCTACATGAAGGAAGAGACAAATTAAACAGCATGAAGGCCAGGTTCTTCCCTATATTATAAAAAGCACAGTAAAACAAAAGAAATGAAATTAGACGCTGGTTCTCTCAGATGCTAGACGCCCTGGAGCATCTCCATTGACAGCTGTTCGATTTCTTCTCTCCCAATACTCGTGAACCATGCCTCTAACTCTAAGTCCGTTCACCAAATTCATAATGATGCGTTATTGATAGGATATGTGAAAGGCGCAATCTAGTGGAGTACTGAACTGAAAGACCAAGACTGCAACTAATTCATCAGACGACTTACTGGCATTCGTAGAGGCACGAAAGTAGAGAGAACGGCGCCAGCAGCATCATAAGTACCTGTCACCAAATTATTCTAATTAATTTCTTTTAGAGTAATTATATGATCAGAAAGAAACCATTTGAGTGTTTGCTATAAGCAGCTGACGCACAATAGTACTCCTCTAGTTTTATTTATATGGGGCAGAGAGGAAAAAAAATTTGATCCACATTTATTAATTTTTAATACTTCTTTTTATATTTTTATTTTTATTAAATATTTTAAATAAAAATATCTGAGATTTAAAAATATTAATTAAAAATAAAAGTAAAAAATTATTAAATTCTAACATAAAGTTGATAAAATTTAAATTTTTTTTATTTTAATAAAATATATTAAAAGTGATTTGTAAATAGAATGAAAAGATTATCCTCCTACCACGAATATCACGTTGAAGGCCTTTTTCGGCTCCTTTTTTGTTGTCTTTGTGAAAGACAAGACATCGTTAACTATCAGCGCCAGCAGAAACTGCATCGTACGTGGAGACAAAACAATCTTAACCAGTATTATTCAAAGTACCCTACCCCGATCCAAGAACCATTAAATTTCAGTAGACTAGTTTATTTTCGAATAAAAACCGAGACGGATGAGGAGCTAGAGATCACGTTTTCGAATAAACCAAGACTAAGAAAGTAGCTAGGGTAATATAACCAAGAAACTAGAGGCGATGCGTCCACATAAAGTATATATATGAAAGTAATGTATATGAAATGAAAGAGTGTGAAGCATGAAGTTACGAGGACGAGCAAGGCTGCATAGAGCAATCCGCGACAGGGAACCATCAAGTTATAAGCCCACCAAGCAAGAGCAGCTGTTCTCTGCTGGTCTGGTTGCTGTGGAGGGGATTGCACTTGTGTAATAGTGGTCGGAGTACTCGGAGTAGTCGAACTATCCAGTACCACCCTGCCAATATAATAATACACAGACAAGTTTATACACCGGGGGGGGGGGGGGAGAGATTGCGAGAAAAAAAGAGGGATAGGATTTGCCTGGTTTGGGTCGACGATGTGCTTTCAGTCGTCACAGCATAATCAGGACCGTAGGGCTGCGCATATTTCAAATATTGTAAAGAATAATTTAAGTTGCGCAGAAAGATTGTTAATCGAATCTATAAAAATATAAGCAATGGAATACTAAGTCCCAAATAGCGAAAGTATATTGTGTTTATAAGCATGAAAGGGGACTCGAATTCGTACCTGCTGGCAAATCTCGCACCGGATGTCGCCCTTGGTGTTGCACCAATCAGTGGTGCAACGACGGTGGGCGTACTTTATATGGCACGGCGTAAAGAGCAGTTAAAAAGGAATTGCAGTTAGTTTCCAAGTCAAGCATTAACAACATTAATTGCAAAATGTAATTATAAACTTCACTTGAAATCCTAGTTAATTAATTCGCTAATCCTGGATTAGATAATTATGGGCAAAAACCTCTACTATGGCTATTTGATTGCACGTTCTGAATTTAAAGAAGTAATTATATTTATTCTAAGCTATATACGGCAGCCAATAATTGAATTTACATGCGTATAGATTATATATCGATATAGGATGAAGTTTTTTTTGCATACCATGATAGTGCCACTGCAAGCACAGGGTGCTTCAAGGTGCCTGACAAGGTCTTCCTCATGGCAAAAACGACACAGTCTTATCTCTCCCGACGATGCAGCCGCAGCTTCTAGATGCGTAACATTTGTTATATCTTCCATGAATACACTGATCTCATCCACTGAAATGACGACGTCGTTTGACGATGACGAAGATTGCCTCGACGGGGTGGTCTGGACCGAAACTTGTTCTAGGCAGACAGCGATGATACGGTCTTCATTCATGTTGTCTGAATAACTCTGCTCTCAAGCAAGAAAAGCATGCATAGCTATTATGTAAGTATGTTAAAGGAGACTTTATCTCACATACGTTTCAGAAAGGGTAAAATGGAACAAGAAAGTTATAACATTGATTTTCGTGTTGATATTTTGGATGTTATCCGCCAGAAGGAAATTGGCACAGCATGGCTGGGCCGGCATATAGTCATCGCAGGTGGGTACTAACAACCAAAATTATCCGTGGAAGTGGGGTATTATTTCTTGCTTATCCTCCTCCACTATTTTCTTAGCGACAAAACACATTAATTATATCATAATTTTCGGAAGAAAACGACACAATTTTTAATGTAGGAAAAACGGCTTATTCGTGGTATCATGAATGAACCATGTCGAGCGAGTGAAATGAAAAGGAAGAGAGGCTATGGCCAGAGATTTTCAATTCAAACGAAGCTTTGGGAAACTCAATCATTCAGATCTTCAAGGACAAAAGGTCTGGAGTTTCTGGTAATTAAGGCTTCGGTGAAAACCAGCAGTTCCTATCTGGTCACGTATTCTGTGAAATCGCAGAGAGAGAGAGAGAGAGAGAGAGAGAGAGAGAGATACAAACGTAACAAGACCTTTGAAGACAGAAAAGCCCCCGTCACGGTCTACGCGAGCGAACAAAACGTGAATTCAAAACACGCCGCTTCATGAATGAAAGAAGAAAATAGCATGCATACACAGAGCACAGTAATCTGGAATATAGATAAAACTAAAAAACCAAAATTTGCGAAACGCATAATAGAATGGGAAGGATCTGGAAAAAACACAGAAGCAACACAGACAAGGCGCAGGAGCTCAAGCACACACACAAAGTTTTGAATTCATGGAGATACGGAGACCTTGCAGGCAGAGATGGCTGAAAGACAAGAGAGAGGGAAGAATGAGCAGAGAAGGAGAGAGAGAGAGTACCATTGTGAAGGTTGTGAGGCGAGTTTGGATTGACGAGCAAAGGAAGAAGAAGCGATGTAGTTATAGTAAGAGAGGGAGGGGCAGCCGGTAGCGTAAGAGGGTGGGGGTGTGTGCCAGGTCATGTGGGCGTCTTTGGCCTTATTACTTCATTTGCCTCACCGAGCTCGTGCTCTTTGATCGAGTTCCGTTGGGGGCTGCTTGGCTTTATCTCGATTTTACTAAAATACCCCTCTCCTGACTGGCCTTTATCTGCGTTTTCATTTCTCACTCAGCTAAGCTCCTGCCCCTTCCCCGTCTTCTCCTCTTCACTCTACCTGGCCTGCAGCTTCCACGTCTTCGTATATGTGGCACCCTCCCCGTTGATCTCTTTTTATATCTTTCTTCTTTCCTTTTCTAAAAGCTCAGTTGATTGCCATTGGTTCATTTGGATCTCATTAAATGTGTTTGATCACAACATCCGATTTCTCCCTCCCTCCCTCCCTCCCGGTTGGGCAAAGTGTCCAAAGGTTCTGTTTGGAACGTTTTCAAAATGAGATGGAGAAAATTGAAAAAAAAAATATAGAGGAAAAAATATTTTTCGCCCTTTTTTTCATTGTTGGTGAAAAAAAAAACCCTGTTTTTCATTAATTTCTCTCAAAAGAGAACAATAACAGAAAAAATTTATGTCAAAAAGAAAATTTTCCTCCTCTAGTTTCTCCTCTTCTCTTGTTCTTTTTATTACAAGTGAAGGGTGAGAGTTGAAAAGAATTTAAGTGCAGAATAAATATATTGAATTTTGAGCTGATGTTATTATGGCATTAATAGTATGAAAGTTTTCTGGTAAATAGAAGGTCATGAGTTTAATCCCACTTATAATCATAAACTATTAGTACTTGTCCTTATGATAATATCATCAAATAGAATTTTGATATGTCAAATTAGACTAGAGCACTTATTTATATCTTTATTGTGAAATTTTTCATTAAAATTATGGTATATATAAAAACTATCATGCCATGTTTCCAAAATTATATATCATGTATTACTTATAAAAAAAATACACCGATTATATTTTAATTAAAAATAAGTAAACATTTATGTATAAAATATCACTTCGACTCTTATATCATAAGATGCCTTTAAAAGAAATGGATGATCCTTATTATTAGCACTTCCAAATATAGCAAAAAACCAACAATAATCATGAAATTAAGAAAGGTTAAAGGTCATTTTTACTCTTAAATTATATGTGAAAGTTCATAAATGATTTTAGACTTAACTATGGATTATTTATATCCTTCAACTTAAAAAATTTGATTTTTCATGCCCTAATGTTATTTTTTTGTTAAGTGAGTCCCACATTTTATTTTTTAATATTTATTTATTTTAAAATATTTAATAGTGGGTCCTACAATTCATTTTTAATATTTTTTTAATATAAAAAAATTAATCTCTCTCCTTCATTCCCTCTCTCCCTTCAGATGGGATTGTATCTTTGCGTCGCACCATCACTACTAGAGATGATAAATCTGTATGACAAGTTGCTAAATCTAGGCATTAAGGTCATGCTTATCACTAGAAGACCTCTCAATTAAGGGAAAGTCACTGCTTCAAACCTCAAGAATATTAGTTGTAATGACCCCAATTACTACTTTTAACACACCATATAGCACCATCAATTTAACAATTTAGGCTAGCATTTAAGACTTTATATCTTTAAATAAAATGCATAAATTCCATACATGGTTGCCATCAAATCAAAATAATCATATAATCACAACTCATTGAAGGTACTTCCCTGTTTTAGCATTAGGATTGGCCTGTATACTAAGACATCACTTGCCTTGACTAATGCAACACCTTACCTTGGCAAGCCAAACCCTACTTGCCTCAATTGCCTGTCACTCGCCATGGCGAGAAGTCACTTACTCGCCTAAGCTTGTCCCCACTTGCCCTAGTTGCTAGCACGTATCACCTATTCATATTCATTTATCCATAGTATTTTAAGACAACAAATTCATACATATGATCATCAAGATCATTTACACAATCATAATATTCCAGAATTTTTTCCCAAGCATGCTTTCAATTTAAATCAAAGTTCAACAATAAAATAGAGCTAAAACCCAATCCAAATCTCCTGAATAAACAAATATAAATCAATGCCTCTAAAACCAGTTTAGACCTAAATAATTCAAGTACCAAATACCAATTTTAATGTGGATTAAATATGCAGCTAAAGTTTCCTATAGTTGGCAAAGTCTCAAAATAATTATGCATTACAATAATCACTAGAGTCTAAAGATCTCTAGTTCCTGAGGCTTTAGCCTTTTTCTTGCCCTTTTCTTCTCCTAAAACTAAGTCAATGTAATGCGGTGAGATTTATTACAAAATCTCAGTAAATAAGACACATAATATAGCAAATAAAATAATAGTAATAAGCAATTCACATACACATATATTTCAACTTAAAACCACATACAAGTCCTTTATCAAAGTATACATATCAAGCATTCATGTCCATAATAACTTATCAATAATCATTTTTACAATGATGCATGTTAAATTCACCCTTATAACCTTCTTATTTCCTCTAACTAAACCCATAGGCAATTAACTATAGCTCTAGTGCATATAACTAAGCTAGATTTGCTCCTCAAATTAGGAAGGGCTTGGCCAAGGCTTCCATACTCGAGTTTAGACCACATATTCCCCTTACTCACATTTTAAGATGTCATGATATGCCCGACCAATATTAACAATCTAAGCAATAAAATTGAGCAAGTTGTCGACCAATACTACTAATCCAAGCAATGAAACTAGGTATACGTATAACATATTAATCACCATTGGGTTGCAATCTTAGTAGGGCTTACCATGGGTTTTTCTAATAACAACTTCTCCCTTACAGGTGAACTCCCGCCTTTGTACATGTATTTAGATAGTCAAATATATATATATAAATATATATATATATGTATGTATGTATGTATGTATGTATGTATGTATGTATGTATGTATGTATGTATGTATATGGACAATATTCTTAAAGTGGAATCATATTTTAGAGTATATATGTACATCCTTTCCAACACTACTCAATTATAGGTTTTCTATGACACAAGTCATATAATACAATAATTCTTGGTAATATATAAGCATGCTTCAAGCATTCAGATCATACTCTCAGAGACATACAAAATAGTATATCATAGCTTAGATTTAAATTTCACAACTCACATAAATCTTATTTGATAAGTAAAATAGCATAATTAATTTACCAGGCAAGGTCATAGACTATAACATATAATATAATAAGTTTTCAGTTACCTCAAACATTTAAGAGATTAAAAGTTCAACCTCTTAATCCCTAAGTTCTACTGTACATGAACCCTGATGATTCTAAGGCTATCTCAATTTACAGATGATCTTTATATGAATAATTAAACTAGTTAACACTCTATTTGAGACTTAGATGAACAGTCCTTAAGAATTCTAATATGATATATAAGCACAAGGCAAGATCTCAGTCATCATATCTAGAGGATAGAGGGGGTAGAAGAGTATAGATCAAGTCTAGGGGACTTACCTTAGATGAATCTAGCTTTTTTAAGGCTTTTTAGGTCATAGAAAACAAACCTTAATAGAGCTCTATAGAAATACGCACATCCAGAAAGTTTAAAATGAGTTTCTAACTTCTACTTTTAGTTAAATCATGTATTTATAATTTTTTCCTGAAATGTACTATTCGTCCCAGAGAGTAACACAGTGAAGTTTCTATACTTTAAGCTCTCCACCTTTTAGTCATCCCTAAAACTAAGGTCATTTCCTTATCCTAAAGGACATTCGAACCCTAAATAAGCCCCTTAGCCTTAAAAAATTGTGGTTATCACTTAGGCCTCTCTTCTTAGAATGTTACATTGGCTACCACACTTGGTTCAAGTTAATCCTCAAATAAGTAATTCATACATGTGTGTATCATGTAACTTTCAGTATTGTTTTGAGTATGTATGTGAGATTATGGGTTTGAGTTCGTGGTCTAAGGCATTGATAATTGTAGAGGGAGGATGAAGCCACATTTGAAAGTTAGCAAGGTAGAGAACTAAATGCTCCCTTTATTTCCATACATTGTCATTCTAGAACCTAAAGAAGGCATTGAGCATATTGCCTTCTTAGTAGCTTCTTATCGAACATGCATGTATGCACTGCCTACCCACTCACCCTTGTTCTTTAAGAAAAAATAGTGGTGAGGTTCTAGTTTAGATGGTATGATGTTGATGGTGAGTTTCGATAATAAAGAGAAGTAAAGGTTATTGCTATGAGGTTAAGGATGGAGGAGCATGAGGAAGGGGGAGCAAATTTAGGTTTGGTGATGGTGAGAGATGATGATGAAACATATTGAACATATTCAGTAATGGTTCGATGATGGTGCATGATGAACAAATTTAAGTAGAGTCATTTATTTCATCCTTTAAAACTTTAACCTCCATGTCCTTAGTCTCTGCAATAACTCCCTCTCTGGTTTAAGATTAAGTTGCCTTGCTAGAGAAGGTGAAACTCAAGCTGACTTAACTCTTCGACATTATTGCCTTTACACAACAACTCGATTAGGTTGATCTTAGGATGGCTTATCCATAAGTGATACATGCATGCATGATGGTGGGTTAGGCAAATCTTAGAGTGGCTTGTCCTAAAAGGTAGAGGGCGAAGAGGCAATCAAAGTTGGAAATAAAGCTAAGTTGGAGCTCAGAGAGGCAAAAGAGTAGGAGGAAGAGGTCTCGGTCAAACGATGGAGGGAGAAAGGAGAGGGAGGGAAGGTGGAAGAGAGAGAATAGTTTTTTAAATTATTAAAAGTATAAAAAAATTATTGGTGAGACCTATAATGCAATATTTTATAATAAATAAATGTTAAAGAAAAAAATTGATAGTACAAACGGCAAAGTGACAGATTTAAAAATCTCAATAGTTAAGAGATATAAATGACTCATAGTTGAGTTTAGGATCATTTATGTGCTTTCGTGACTAGTTTAGGGGTAAAATTGACCCTTAATCTAATTAAAAATAATTAGATTTTAGGACCATGGTCCTTTTTTATAATTTCAACATT